AGAAAAAGAAAGAAAAAAGAAAGAAAGAAACAGGACAGGATCAAAAAACATGGTACGGCTGGGTGTGGTGGCACACGCCTGTAATCCCAGCACTGGGGAGGCTGAGGCAGGAGGATCACTGTGAATTCGAGACCAGCCTGGGCTACATAGTGAGTTCCAGGTCACTCTCAACTACATAGTGAGACCCTGTCCCCCCCGAAAAAAAAAACAGGGTATGGTGGTGCACACCTATAATCCAGCACTGGGGAGGCCAAGGCAGGAGGACTGCTGTGAGTTTTGAGGCCAGCTTGGGCTACATAGCAAGACCCTGTCAAAAAAACCAAAACACAAAAAAAGTACAATTTTAAAAAAAACATTGAAATTAAAAATAAAAAAAAAAAAGAAGAAGAAGAAGAAGAAAGAGGATAGGAGTCCAGGAGCTTGCCACACGGAAATGTCCATCTTTCCACCAATCTGTACAGCTCTGGAAGGCAGGCTCAGGACCGAGTTCTCAGGCCTCTATGCCTACAGCACCCTCTAGGGGCTGGGCACAAGTGAGCTCGCTTCTGAAGACTGAGCTCAGGCTTCTGAAGGACAAGAGTATCAGAGAAACAAAGCACTGGAAGGAAGTGAGGCCAATGCTCAGGAAATCTTATCTTTCTGGGCACACAAGCCTCTTCCCAACAGAGTCACTTTCTCTTGCGGTCTGCGACCTGTGAGATCACAGGCCCAAAGCAGGCAAGAGATCTGTTTTGTTTACACACAAAAATGTCAAAGGCCAGGAATGTTGCAGAAGCCTGATGCAGGATCCTAAAAAGTGCACACTGGGGAAATAACTTGTCTTAGAGTCCACACAGCCTGAGGGGCACCAGAGGGGCAAGGGGGAGGCTCAGAGATAGGGGTGGGGGTGGCACGGCGAGGCCCTGGGAGTGGGGAGGAAAGAGCTGAGGGCCTCCCTCACCCAGGTCCCATCTGCTGCCCAGCCTGGACCTCTGGGCTTTCCCAGGACGTGGGGGAGGGACAGTGAATTACTCCATCCACCCTCTATAGATTTCAGAAAAGCCCCACTAGTTCAACATCTCTGTGATTTGGATCGAGAGCTCGAGCCCCAAGGGGATCAGGAATGTCTCCGACTTTTACACCCAACATTTCTTTAAAATACTAATCTAGTTCTCAGAGACTCAGCTCTGTCTAGGGTCCTTCCCTCCTCCCCGGGACGGGACCAGGCCCTGGCACCCCGTGTGGTGTGTGAAACTCCTTCCTGACCACACTCAGCAGCGGGCCCAGAGGGGTGGCAGCAGGCTCTGTGGCTGGAAGGCCTCCCTGCCATTTCACCAAGAGCCAGCTCCAGCCTCCCAGGCCTACCTCAGGGCCGGCACAGGTGGCTCTCCTGATGCCTGGCCACATCCGGACCTGCCAGCCCCCTCCCACTCCTCGCCCTGGCACAGAAGGAAACAGGCCCAGGAGCAGTGGCACAAGTCAAAGCAGTGTCTGCCAACAGCCACGGAGAGAGGGGAGACTGCTAAGTTCAGGGGACAGCGAGGGTGGGGGACTTGATCCCCAAATTTAGGCCCGAAGAGGCAGAGTTCTGGGGACACAGCCCAGGCCTTGGCCTCTGCCTTCCCCTCCGGGTAGCCTGCTGGAGGCCCACACCCCTGGCCTGGGTGCCCGCTAACGGGCCACTCTGCAGTCTTGGAGCGGATCTTGGACTCAGTAGAGGGGCCACTGAAGCCACAGCAGCAGCCCCTGTCCCGAGCCAGGCCGCTTTCCTCGTTGCTAGGGTATGGGGTGGGGGTGGGGGTGCTGGGTGGCAGGTGCTGCCCGGCCGCTGACGTCCCCCAGCCTAGGTGGGGACTGCTGAGCCCTGCAGGACCCCTCTCCGTCCTCCCCGGGACGCCAGCCCTCCCCCCTTCCGGGGCCGGTACCTGAGCGGGCGGGTGCGCTGC